AACAATCTTTTTAATGAAAGAACAGATTGACTAACATTAGTAAAAATTTTAGGAAAGCAGCTACAAAACCTTTAGGGGGTTATTCACTAAAGAGCTGAAGGATTTAACTGAAGGTCCAAATAATCCTTCAGCTTGCTACAGCTGCAGAAACCCTTTGGTTTCAAAGTAAACAACCAAACGCAGCCGAGCCAAACGAATGGTCTGCTGTTGCGGACCGAAGCATTGGAATGTTGTAAAAGAATAGAATTTAAAAAACAGTGTGGTCTTCCCCTCCCTAATTCATACAAGACCCTTTAGGTCTGGTAGGAATGTTAGGGGTGACCCCGATGTCCAAAAAAAAAAGCATGAAGTCCCTCTACAAAGTCACACTATACCCTTTAGGTCTGGTAGGAATTTTAAGAGGCTGCAGTGAATAGCCAAACATGCTTCGGCTCACTTTACTTTGGCTCGGTTATTCATTCGGCTGCCTTCAGCAGTTTAGTAAACAACCCTCTTAGTCAGCTGTAATTTGAATGTGCCTACTTCTGCCTTTACTAGTTTAATATTAAACTGACCGTGTCAGCAAAGGGTCACTTTGTAGGTAACTCATACCTCTAATAGAAGAAGCAATATCATTGGATTTCTGGTGGCTTGCTTGAAACACTGCCTCTTTGCTGCTCCCTGAGTTTCTGCCAGTATTTGACTGGTCAGATGCTTCCCACTGCTGGCTGCTGTGTTTTCTCCCACTGGAGAAAACAGGTATTGCACGCACCCGTAAGTGTGGAATGCTTGCAGTTAAGTGGTGATGCTTCAACAAACATGCTGCTGGAAAGGTATGTACAGAGGCTCTTTTATTACAAGTATGCATCTACATACAAAGGGCCCTATATTTATATTTGTTTATTAATTACATTGGGGGAGGTATTAATAGCCATGTTTCTGTGTTTGCAGATGACACTAAAATTTGGAGGGTAATAGACACGATCTTAGACATTATAACATTACAGGAGGACCTGAAAAAAATAGGGGAGTGGGCAACTATGTGGCAGATTAGGTTTAATGTGGAAAAATGTAAAGTAATGCATTTGGGGGGTTAAAAACAGGCAAGCAGAATACACATTAATGGATGCTCATCTAGGGAAGGTACAAATGGAAAAAGATTTGAGGGTCATAGTAGACCACGGTTTGAATAATAGCTTGCAATGCCAGGCTGCAGCAAACAGAGCAAGCAGAGTACTGTGTTGTATTAAAAAGGGGATTACTGTAGAGACAAATCAATAATTTTGCCACTATATAGATCACTGATTCGGTCTCATCTTGAGTATGCGGTTCAGTTTTGGTCACCTATCCACAGAAAGGATGTCCTGGAGCTGGAGAGAGTCCAGAGAAGGGCATGTTGTGGCCTTAGTAACACTGTAAAAGTAACATCAGAGGAGTTCACAGAAGAAGGTTTTCTGGCCAAAAAAAGGTAATAGAATAAACATTGTGGAAACAACCATTAGGCAGGACTTTTACTATAAAAAGTTTAAAATAACTAACTGGTTGGATTTAAGGAGCTGGAGTATTAATGAAAAAATGTTTGTAGTACAATTTGTAACAAGGAAACAAAGATCCAAGAGCGTAACTGCATGGTGATTTTTTTCAGGGGAAAAATGCTGAAAACAATATATGTGCGAGTGTGTGTGTGTGTGTGTGTGTGTGTGTGTGTGTGTGTGTGTGTATATA